CTTTCCCTGGTGGTACATGGGCTTTAATATCCTCTTAAAAATTCATTAAAAAATAGTTTATTAACTGTGTTAGTTCAGGTTAACTATAGAAGCAAATCCAGAGGCACTCATATGTGTATAACAAAGAGCTTTAAAAAAAGAGAAATTGTATATATTAAGAAAACATCCTAGGCCAGTCCAGATCAAGTACATAAGTCCAATATTAGCCCATATGTCTGATACCAGTATATAAATTCCTCTTCAGACTTACACAACACATGCAATGACGCTGAGTGCAGGAAGATCACAGCCCAGTGGGTGGAAAATCTTGTGGGTTCAGTCGTGGTGGAAGCATCTCAGCGCTGGCGTGGGTCTCCCCGTGGCTCTGCCAGCTCCAGGGCTCTGGCTCCATCAACATAGCTCCATCTGTCTTGTCAGCAGAAGATGAAGCAGAGAGAGAGTGCCGTGCCTCTAGTGAGCTGTTTATCTCTCTACCACCTCAAATGCGGTCATCAAGCTGCGACCTGATTGACAGGCAAGACTCCACCCTGCGCAAGTTGACAGATTATGTAGCTGCCACATTAATAAAGAAAAATCAATGTACATTTGAGAAAAGTAGTACACTTGCCAACTATCTCAACATTTTGCATCAACAACAATAGTGAAAAATCTACCTGTCTGGTGCATTAGCGACATATGCCTGGTAATCATAACACCAGGGTATGTGGTGAGAGTGGTACTAGCTGTGATTGTTAAACTTGTCTTGATTCTCAAGGGCTTGGTAGGTATAGAACAGTGACATTTGATGAAACGCATTAGTTGAATAATGATGAAACGCATTAGTTGTATAATAATTTGATAGTTCTGTAATGATACAGTCATATGATGTGAAGTGATCATTCTTCATTTTGCATCGTGTCAGTTTTTCCATCCCTACTTGATCCTTGGACTCTAAGCAGGTCATAAGTGAGGAATGAGTCTCTATGCTTAATAGTCAAAGGGCCAGTCAGATAGAAATAGCGATGCCACTGTACTCCTGAACTACTTTGACTATTGTGTTTTTGATAAAATAGAAATTTCAGGACTCTGAAGAGGCCCTGGTGGTAGAGTGGGTTACAGGTTAGGCTACTCACCACCAAGACAGCAGTTTGAAACCACCAGCTGCTCCCCGGGAGGGAGATGAGGGTCTCTACTCCCATACAGAGTCACAGTCTCAGAAACCCCCGAAGGCAGTCTGCTCTGACTTGGCGGGCTGCTGTGAGTTGGAATGGACACAGTGGCAGTGAGTTTGTTGTTGTTTCTGTTTTGGTTTAAGAGGTGGACAAAAACAGCCCAAAGGGTTCACTCACCCGCTCTTCCTGTTCACCTCAAAAGCAAGTTCACCCACTAATTTCTTACCCTGATATTCTTTGTTGGCTGGCATGTGTTTGTCAACGAAGCAGTCCTGGGTCCAGAAGTGATGTGACCATGGAGGTGAATGAGGAAGCCCAGTCTCTGCTAACAGCTTGGGCATGCCCTTCCCAGAGGGGGGAATGCTCCCACGTCTTTCTTTGTTTCACACAGCCCTTAGGTCGGTCGTTTATCTTAAATTGGGTTGACTGGGCCGATATCCTCCCTATTTTAAATGTTATGCAAATTGGAGAAGTAACTAAGCATCATTTCTAAAACAAAGATCAACTTTTGCAGCTCATGTGCATTCTTCTTCCTCACTGTTAGCGCTCACTTATTTCAGAATACAGTCATAATTTATGTAGCTTCTATGAAATAGATCTGTTTTCAACACTTATTCATTACTATCAGGTCTGGATGGAGAAAAGCCAGATCAAAGGCCATGTTGATGTTCTGCCTCACAAGGAATGCCCGCTCTCTTCCGACATGGGTCAGGTGTGGGGCTAAATCACACGTTTCCATGATAACCAACCAGAATGCACAGCCGCCTGATGACTGATTACCTAGCATTTGAGGTGTTAATACCTCAAGGGCTTCTTAGAGAAGAACCGGCTAAGACAATGTGTAATGACTGGAGATGGTCAGGCTAGTTAGCAGATGAAAGAGCGCATAGATGGAACACTAAGAAGATTCCACTTGAACATGAGGTAGGATTTATGACCTTACCATTTCCAAGTCACACAGAGCATACTCTTGTCTCCTGTTAGCACCTGCATCCGCAGCCCCCTAAAGCTTATCACAGTTAGAAGTTCAATCTCTGGCTTTAGTCCTGATCCTGATGACGGAACACAAAGAAGATATCTTCTAGAAATTGTTAACTGGATAAAACAATATATAGGATTCATAGGCTCTATACAAAAGAGAATGGAACGTGTCAGCTTCCACGCCAGAAATGGACACTTTGATTTTGTGATATGGGTTAAGATGGACAGATAGACGGAAAGTCTGTCACGGCTGCTGCTTCCCATGTCAAGATCTCCGATTTGATATAGGTTTAGGGTATTTACCCAATGATCCCCCGACACAGGAGCCCTAGCACTTATTCAAACAGTGCTTTGAATCCTGGCTCTGTTGTAGTGCCTTTGTACTTACTCATGTGGGACCCCTGGTAGTGTAGTGGGTTATTGTGTTGGGCTGCTAACCACAAGGTCAGCTGTTTGAAAGCACCAACTGCTCTGTGGTGGAAAGATGAGGCTTTCTACTCTCAGAAAGATCTACAGTCTCAGAAACTCACAGAGGCAGTTCTACCCTGCCCTATCGGGTCCCTACGGGTCAAAATTGATTCAATGGCAGTGAGTGAATGAGTTGTACTAACTCAGACTCCCTCAGGGGACCACAGTCCATGAAAGCCGAGCCATCTATTCCGGCCTTTTTATTGTAACCAGGAGAGGTTCCAGATAACCTCATTTAAATGATTGCATGTGTCACCCATCATCACGGGTTTGCACCGGCTTCTATTACTCAGTCAAGAGTGTAATAAAATGAGCCACGCTAGATTTTGACATACATAGAGATTTCAAGAGGTGTCTGAGACAGGAGTGAAGCGGGACAGTCCCTTACTTGCACACTCAAGCTTTTGTCATCTGTAACGTCTTGTAGCTGGGGACCCTGATCGGGGCTGGTTAGCCACATTTAGGAGAAAAGAGAAGATATGTTGTAAATCCGTAAAAATATGCTTGGTGATCTAGAAAAAGTAAACCTAGACTCCTGGACATACATACCATCAGGCCAACCCAGCATCCCGCTGTGAGAGCTGACACTTTCATGGAAGGACGGCCGCAGCTAGTTTGGGCATTTGGATGGGTGGGGCGGGCTCTCCTAGAAGGGTCAATGTCACAGAAGCAAGCACTGTTCCAAACCTGATGGAGGGAGGCAGGGGGTGGGGGCGGGAGGACGGGCCAAGGTTTTGTCTCCCTGGCTCTTCGAGAGAGAATACATAAGATGTTATACTAAGTTACTTGTTGCTAATCTGAAATTCACATTTAACTGGGGTTCTTATCACTCGCTAAACTGGACAATCTTCCGTCAGGGCGCGCAGTGATCCCAGCTTCCAGGTGTGTGGAGAGGGAGAGGGGCTGGGAGGACTCTGAGCACAGGAGCCCATGTGGCACTGCTTCTCCATCTGGGCCCTGTGCGTGCCCAGGTGCACAGGTGCAGACACGGACGGGGATTCCCAGTGTCCAGCAAGAATTGAGAGAGTCTGCGATGGAGGCTCTCTCGGTGACAAGGAGAGCTGGCCTGGCCTGCGAGGAAGGTTAAAGGTGACCGACCTGGTTACTTAGCTTTTCGATTACTCTGTTTTCACTGATGAGGATTCAGATCTGGCCAGGCTGGTAGATTAGCCTTCTGACGGTAAATGACTATGACGAGGGGGCCAGGGGAGTGACTCAAGATGGCCTCAGTGTGTCAGGCAGCAAAGTCTGAAGGTTGCAGCTCTGGGTGATGGGGGAGGAGGCTCAGCTCAGCGCTGGTGCTGCTGGCCCAGGAGAAGACCTGAGCAGATGTCCAAGCGAGGGTGGGCAGATGGAATCCTGGGACCACCACTTCATTCTGGTCCAGAGCATCGCAGAGCTTTGGGGGTGGGGTGGGGTACTGCTGAGTCATCAGTTCTCCCAAGGAGGGGGGGGGTAAGTCAGTTCCCAGAGAGCAGCAGCAGCAGAAACAGTAGCCAATGGGTTCCGTTTACAACCTTCCCTAAGAGCTCGTTTGGGGATGGAGCCTTGCGGACTGCTTCTACTAGCCTGCCCTGAAACCTCCAAAAGGCCATTTGTCACACCAGGGCCTTTACACTTGTCTGTGCACCTGTAACAACGTGATGGCGTGGACCTATTCCATCTTCCCTAAGTGTCTTCGTCGCTCTAAACTTGTGTTGGTGTTCAAGTATCTTTAAGCGTCCTCATGGCTCCTGACCTGTCCAGGCAACAGGGCTGATAACCCCTTTTCCCATTTCCCTTCCCTTCCCCCACCTCTTTCAGACAAAATATCCGTTTTCAAAGGGTTCTGTTCACACGAGTTAATAAATGAGATCTACTCTCTTCTAAGTCTTATGCCAGCAAGACCACTAATGACTCTGCTGGACCAGAGGCTACAATTCAGACTTCAACCACAGTCCACCTTTCACTGATCCGCCGATTGCTTATTCAGCCAATACATGTTGAGCTCATGTCACGCATCAGGCAGACGGGAGCCACTGGGAAGGACGTTTCCGCAGAATGGCCAAACGCAGCGAACCCTAAGTGGCTGGAGACCTGGTCACTCCAGTCTTCCTTGTCTCTTTGCTGCTGCTGGACTCTCGGGAGCTTCCAGGTTCACTCACTTGCCCATTCAATGGTAGAGGCAAAACAAAAAGGAGTGTTTGGTGACAGTTTCGGTGAAAGGTTGAAACTATTGGCTACGTCGAGCATTTAGAGAATCCGGGGCTCTCCCTCTCTAGCTGACCATGCGCCTCCAAGACCACAGGAACCTGGGAACTGGCTCTTGACACCAGGCAGTGTGCATGGGGTGCAAAGCCAGCCTTCAGGGGGTTCTTATGTACTTCTTCTCTGCCCTCTGTCCCCAGGGCTGCACTGGAGATGGAGTTGCTGCCTCTTTGGCTCTGCCTGGGTTTTCCCTTCCTGACCATGGACTGGGGGACCAGAAGTGGAATGGCCGCAGCAGCTTCTGCAGGGCCCTGCAGACTGGTGAGTTTGCCCTTGGAGCCCCGGGTTGTCTGTTGCTCCCGTGGGAACCAGGTTTGCTCGGTTGGGCAAGCTGAGGAGTATGTAAAAAGAACTCGACAGATCCATTCTTCTTCTTTTTACAACTCAATGGATGAGTCAGATTAAAAAGAATTGTGCCGTCATCGCCACATTCCATTAGAATATTTTCTTCTTTTTTTGTGCTCACGATTATTAGTTCCACCCCCACCCCAACTTCCTGTGTCATAACTAGTAATTCAGTTACTCTCTCTGAGGATTACCCACCCTTGATTTCATATACAAAAAAATCCACCCCCCAAAAAGTCCAACAACAATAACAAAACAGTGAAAAGCTCAAGCAGAAAATATTAAAAACAAAAACAGTTTTAAATGTGTCAAAAGGGAGAACAAATGAGGTGTTAAAATTTAATCTAATTACATCTGCATTATTCCATTTTCCAATGCACTCTCTCCGATAGCAAGGCTTCTCACATCCCTGGTCCATCGTTAGAGACGATTCTTTAATCCGTGTGGGGCCCACAACGGATTTTGAGGTTTCACTGTCATCCATAGCTTCTGCAACCCAGGCGTTCAGAATTTAAGCTCTAATGCCATTCTCTCCTCCAGTCTTGGATCTTGTTATGTACAGTCCTTGGATCACAGAGGCTGGTGCGCTTCTTCTGTGTGGACTTAGCTGACACTTCATTTAGATGGCTACTTGTTTGGAGACAAGCCTTTCCTTTAAGACCCCAGACACCATTCTTTCTGATAATCAGGCACCATCTGATTTTTCCACCACCCTTTGCAATAGCACTCATAGCTTATCTCAGTTACCTCGTGCTGTTTTAACAGAAATCACCATAAGTGGGTGGCTTTAGTGAACAGAGATTTATTTTCTTACAGTTTGAGAGGCCAGAAGTCAGAATTCCTGGCACCAGCCCACAGGGAAGGTTTCTCTCTCCATCGGCTCTGGGGACCGTCCTTGTCTCTTTCCAGAGGCTGTTCCTCAGTGCCGCCGTGGCCATGCTTATGCTCAGAAGGATATGTACCTTCTCTGGTTTGCTTGTTTCTGTGCCTAAGCTGATCACAGCACTTAAAAGCTTTTGTTCCTGGACCCATGCCTGATACCCTGCAGCCTAATGGTTTGCCAGCCTTGAAAGCCATTGTACTGAGCTCCCAAATCCGGAGGCCTGCATGATTTCTGCCCTGAGACCAGGGTCACCCAATCCAACCTGCCTTCGACCTGAACAGCCGCAGCAGAGTGGGGTTCCAGAAGAGGGCCATGCTGGACACAGTGAGCTCTGGGCTTTGGACCCAGTTCTGCCACTGACAGGTCTCTACTCCTCACTTCCCAAGTGTACTATGCAATTCTGTACATTTGAGGTGGCATTGAACTCAAAGCTTCAGTATTTATCCATGTCGGGAAGCCTCCCAGGCAAAAATGCTGGTAGAAGGAAGAGTCGACAGGCCTGTGGGATACTGGGCAGTGCCTCTGTTATCCTGAGGACAGATGTTCCAGGGATCGTGATAGCAGTGTGATGAACGAGAGCTTCAGGCTAATGCTCTGGA